GCTTTATATTAAGGATGTTCATCTGCCCTTTAAGACCCAGTGCTCTGCCTTTGCCATTGAGTGATGCCTCTTAGTATCCTTGGCTTCTCTTGCATCTTAACATACAAAGTCATTGAGCATTAAACTCTGTGCATTGTTAAGTGAAGGCGGAAGAATGGGCTGGCAAATGGTGAATGAAATTCTAATGGTTAATTTTTGCACTGGTGATTTTACTTTCGTGAATGCTGAATCCTGCTGCGTGAACCGGCTTATTTTGCAGGTGAAAAACTATACCTTGGTAATGCATTTGAAGCAGGCTCAACAGTGCAATACCTTTCCTGGGCATTTCCCACCTGATGTTTTCTAATACATTCAATGTGAGGAATATAATAATAGAGGCAGGCAGCAAAATGGCTGATTCTGGTTTAATTATGTCCCGTCTTGTCACAGTTTGGGATGGCTTTTTGTGTTTTACCATATGGTTGATATTTTTTATAGTGTTATATTTCATCAGTTGTCGATTAATTCAATCATGGTCTATATTCTCTCATCTTGCCATAAGGGTCTCATTTAGTTTATCTACAATTTTAACCACAGTAATTTAATTTCCTGAAAAAGGGTTTCTCTTTTTGCAACCTTCAATTTCAAGCGTTTTAACTGTATATGGTAATTATAATGCGAAGTATTGAATGACCATTTATAATGCCTTGGTTATTGAATGCTTTTGATTCTCACTGCTTATCCTAGTCGTGATCGTTGAGGAACAATTGGTTTTGTTGTTTTAGAGTCATTATAAAACGTATGATCGTGAATTTTAGGCATTGAAGGAACAATAAAAGTAAAGAGAAATAAAATTTGAAGTGATTGTACATAAGAAAAGGTTATTTTGAAGAATTCAGTAGTAAAAATTGATTAAAATGACTTGGGTACGTGGAAAAAAATTGCTAGATATGTTAGGGATAAGAGTTGAACAGGTAGTTTTTTGTTTTATTACTGGCTGTGCTATCTCGTAACTGCACTTCATTGTAAATCATGATGAGCACAACTAAAACTATTCATGCCAAAAAGGCCTCACATGAGTAGGCACTTTTATGACCCAAAAAAAAGAAAAAAAAAGAAAAGGCGCTTTAAATTCAATGACCAGGATTGGAACATTGTACTCTTGCATGATTCAAGTTACATGTTACATTAAACTTTCACGAGGCAACTAAATTCCTTCAAGTCTCCTTATTATTTGTAGTCTGTTTAGACGTATTTTCACTTTATTTTTTTATATTTATCATATTTTTTTCAAATTAATTTGTTTAACTTGTAAAGTGATCGTATTTTAAAAAAATGTTATATTTATTATAATTAATTAATTTATTTGATTTTCTTAGTTTATCTAAATTAACTGTGTAACTCTTATATTATACTAAGGACTAAAGAAAATACTACTTTTGGTTTTTAATATAAGAGTTATTTAAATAATAAAATTGGTTAAATTAATTATTTGTAATAAAAATGAATTGATTTTTTAAAGTTTTTTTAAAATCATGATTACCTTTTGAATGGGAACCTCTTGAGATGTATAATTAATCTGAATGATTTAGATAATGAATTATAAATTTGAGAACTAAAATGGATTGGTTTCTTATATTTAGGATTAAATTTAAAGGAGAATTACAATTAAGTCCCACAGAAGAGAAATAATTACCAAAAGGTTCCAATAACAACCTTAACAGTCTATAATGACAAGTCCTATAGTGAGAATGATAATCTCTAAGACTTGTTTTTCAATTATTTTTCTTACTTGAGATCTCATTATAATTCTTTCTAAATTTAATTATGTGAAAACAACTTTTGACTCTGGTAACATTAGTATTAGGGGTGTTCACAGGACGGATCGGGACCGGGACAGGCCCGTCCCAGTTCCGTCCCGATGAACAGTAACGGGACAGATTTTCTGTCCCGTGTCCAGGGCAATCCCGGGGTTGTCCCGGTCCTAGTCGGGACGGGACGGGACCGAGACATCCCGAAATTATTTTTTTTAATTTTTTTAATTTTTTAAAATTTTTTAAAAAAAATCTGATTTTTTTAATTATATTGTTTTGAGCTTAAATCTTATAAAAACATCTTTTTTATTTGTTTGGGCACTTTTAAACAAAAGCTTAAAATATTACATATAATAGTCATTAAAAACTTTAAACAAAAGCTTTTAACACAATAAAAACTTGCTAAAAATTCTAATCATCAATAATCTCAAATCATTAACAAATATAAAAACTCTAAATAAATATATCCATAGTTCCATACAATAGTCTCAAATCTTAAAAAAAATATGAAAAAAATGATATTATATAAAAAATTAAAAAAATTAAAAAAAAAAAGGAACCCAGACGGGACTGGGACGGGATTGTCCCGTCCCGTCCCGGTTTGTCCCGTCCCGAAAAATTTCGGGACGGATCCGTCCCGTCCCAATAAGACCGGGACCGGAACGAGCAGACCGGGACGGACCGGCCTTGAACACTCCTAATTAGTATGTTAATATTAAGATGTCGGGCTACATGTGCCGCACAAAATCAATAAATTAACACCCAAATCCTCTAACGGTATTCTGCAACGCACACCCTTACCGAAAAGTAGCTTCTTTCAACTTATAGCAGAAGTGCATTTCGCGGACAGAAGTCAGATTGCGTGAATGTGCGCCCAAACACCCATTTTCAGCTTGTTTGTTGCTTCTCCGTTGGGGATGTACGTTTGGAGGCCCAACCGTGATCCCAAATAGGCCCATAAGCTAACATCATGCAGCGATTGTCTGATTGAGGTATGAAAAGTCTACTTACTTTTTGAAGAATTTATGTCCAATTTTCCCCAGATGAGAGATATGTGGGCATGTGCCATTGTATAAACTTGCAACTTCGTCTATATTTCTAAACAACACAATTTCAAAATAAGTTTGTGTGGTGGTAATTAAATATAAGAGCTAGTTATTATATTTATTTTAGTTTTAAACATAAAATTTTAATTTATTTTACTTTTTAAATTTATAACTTTTTTTTGAATGTTGATTCCATGTGGGATGATGTTTTCATTAATATCTCATAATTAAATAGAATACTTTAAAAAATTCAATTCATATTTATTATAAATTATAATTTTATAAATTTATTAAATATTCAAAAATTAGCTATTTAATAATTATTTTTTTGCCATAAGGTTATCTAATAATTATTATGGTTAGGACTAAAACTGAGAAATTTAAGTCAGAATATTCAGGTTGTGAAAGTTTTCACTTGACGCACGGAGTCACAATTTAAGAATTCGTGCTTTCCTAGAGGGGGGAAAACATAAAAACATATACTCCACTCCGATCCTAATTATAAGACCGAACAAGATGTTATAATTAAGATTGGAGGTAGTACTTCCTCCTATTTTTAATATTATCTCATGTCCTTAATATATGAGCTAATTAATTTGAGTAGATTAAAAAGCTAGTTAAGTTAGTTATATATAATAAATAAGTATTGTTTTTCTTAAAATATCCTTACTAATCAAGTATATTTGACTAGAAATACCATTATTATAAGGATTACTCTAGACAAAAATAGATAAATGTAAGAGACAAAGTGGATTGAGGTATTATATTTAAGACCAAAATAAAAATCAAATGAGCTCTTATATTAAGGATCGAAGGTAGTATAAGAGTTAGTTTAACATTCAATTTGGTTCTAAATATAAAAAATTAATTTATTTTGTCTCTCATATTTATAACTTTTTTTTAAGTAGTCCTTATACTAGTTGTACATATTAAATGTTTCATCAAATCAAATACTCCTCCTGTCCTAATTATAAGACCCAATTGACTTATTTGAGGAGATTAAGGAAGTAATTTAAGTTGGTTATTTATAATAAATAAGTGTTGTTATTCCTAAAATATCCTTGCTAATTAAGTATATTGGCTAAAACTATCATTATTAGAATGATTATCTTGGAAAAAAATGCATAAATATAAGAGAAAAAATGGATTGGGTCTTATAATTAGGACCAAATAAAAAGTCAAATTGGGTCTTATAATAAGGACCGGAAGAGTACTAAATATGAGAGCTAGTTTGACTTTCAATTTGGCCTTACATATAATAACTCAAATCACTTTGTTTTTTTCCAAAATAATTCCTGTAACAGTTACACATGTTAAATGTTTTATCAAATAATAGTTCTAGCTAATACGTATGTTGACATGATTGGCAAAGGTATTTTAGGGAAGACAATACATATTATTACAAATAACTACTTTGACAATTTTTTTTAATTTACTTAAATTAGTCAATTAACTCTTATATTAAAGAATGAAAGATAGAAGTAGTAGTAGTTTTAACAAATAAACAAACATGATTAATAAAGGCATTCAACGAAAGACGACTAATGATTACGTGAACTAATTTTTTTAGCCAGAGATAGTATTAATCTTTTTCATTCATCGTATCAATATTTGGTGGCAGAATTGATTTGTCGTTGAAATACTCGTTGCATGATAAATTTTCAAGAGCAACCCGTCTTGAGGGCGTAAGCAGCACAGGGAAAAAGAGTTCTCGCTTGAGGGTGTAAGCAGCACGGGGGCAGAGAAATGAGAATGTGGTGAATGTGATTTGTCATTTTTCTAGTGGCTACAGTACAAATGAGGTCCCATGTAGCTGAGAAACCTTATCCAGAATGCTCGTGCTTGCTTAATACACTTACCCCTCAAACTTCGTGGATTTCAAAGGCTTGTTCCTTAATCTGTATCTATAAATTTCTTGGGCACATTTCAATCACAGTATCCGATTTCCTCGTCAAATTGGCATTTTCTTCCTTCTGTTTTTGTTTCCCCACCTCTGGTTGGGGAGACATTCGTTGTCTCACTTCGTCGACGTGCATTTCCAGCTACCACAACTTCCACTTCTTGGGTCCATTCTGAGTGCGTGCGTGTCATCCTCGCGGTAAGGCCAATCTTCTCTGTTCTGTATCGTTCCGACTTTATTGAATATAGGAGCTGGGTCCCATTCATTCTTCCTTTCTGCTCTAGCTTTCATGCCCTGCAACTGCAAATCACAATGAAATGCGATCATTTCCAACATTTCCGATAGCATATTGTCTAGCGAAATCGAGTCCTTTCTCACTGGAATATACATTGTAGCTTCATATTCCAAATTCAATGGCCATTGCATCTTTCACTTTATCTTCTCTGCTTCAACCCTCCAGTTCTTCTATTTCTTCTTCTTCTTCTTCTTACTTCCTTGGTGGGGTCCATCTCCGCTCCCATGAAAGCTTCATCTCTGTCCCTTCGCTTTATTCGACTTCAAATACGGAGGTCCCTTCTAGGCGCCTGCGAATAGTGGCTGTTGCTTCTGGCGACTATTATGCTGCTCTTGGAGTTCCCAAATCCGCCACAAGCAAGGAAATTAAAGCGGCTTATCGAAGGTTAGCTCGCCAGGTATCGATTTTTACTTGGGGGGATTGGGATTCTTCATTTTGTATGGAATTAATGCTAGGCCTGTGGCCATAAATTCTGGAAATGGTATATATAAAATCGGAAACTTCTTTACTTGGAGGATGCCTTTAAGTGGGATCGATTTTCCAGAACTGGTTTTCATAATCTCGCAGTCCGTTGCAAGCTATAAGCTCCCAGACTTTTTAAATGGAGGAAATTTTGTGTCTTTTGCCTATCAGACACCCTCGTCTTCCAACGGTGCTCAAAATGAGTATTAATATCACCAAAGTACTTTCAAAATTATTATTCTAAAGATCTCCAAAATTCATGCTTCTCAAAATTGCAATTTTCTTGACGTTGCAAAATTATATGAAATTACTGTTTCCAGTTTCCTGTAGATGTAAACCCTCTTGTTTAATTAAAAGGTCATGTCATAATGAGCACTAGTGTTACTTCACGAAGCTCAGTTCAAACAAACAAACAGACAAATAAATAAATATAAAAGTTACTTCGTAAAGCATAATTTCTGTAGTTCTTCAGAGAATTTAAGTTGTTAATGCAAGTCGTAAATTCTTAATGGTCGTTTTTCTTTACTGAATAGGGTAACCTTCACAATATTCGGTCCTCATTGGTTGTTAGAAGTAAAAATGAGTTTCTAGAGTAATCTTTACTTGACCTAATTTTATATGTACATTTTTCTCTATAGTACCATCCTGATGTGAACAAGGAGCCTGGGGCAACTGAAAAGTTCAAAGAGATTAGTGCTGCATATGAGGTATGCACAACAACTGTGAAGGACTCTTTACAGAACCACTGCGTTGGGTGGCTTTTAGTTTTGTAAATCGTTGGTTTTTTGTTTTACCCTTTATTTTGCACCTCAATGGTTAGTCAATAGTCATTATAGAGAATTTTATATCTTCAACTTGAACTGACGTGGTTTGAAGTTCAAGACAAGAAGTACTGGAATGATTATAACATATATTTTGTTAAATGGTGTTTATGATTTTATCTTTTGAATTCTTAAGTACAATACTGTCAGGTACTATCAGATGATAAAAAGAGGGCTTTATATGATCAATATGGAGAGGCCGGAGTTAACGGCTCCATGGGAGGAGCATCTAGTGCTTATGCGGTATTCTTTATTTATTTAATGCTTAATATTTAATTTTTGGAAAAATTAGTAAAAAATCCTTGTTTGAAATTTTAATTAGCCAGAAGGATCTGAAATTGTGTAAGTACAGGTATGATCCGTTAGTGCAACGTATCATCCGCTGAGTGCAATTCACTCACGGATCATACCTGCACTTGCACAAATCAAGTCATTCTTGCCAATTAAAATTTCAAATAGGGATTTTTTACCAATTTTCCTTTAATTTTTTGATTCATATATTCTTTTTTAATTTTATACAATTTAAATGCGTCTGCACACGGACATGTCAATGTCAGGTTCAAATCTTAAAGTCTTATCCGAGCATGGTGGGTGACGTACTTGCCATTAACAAAATGACATTTCTGATTCATATATAACTCATATAGAGCTGTCAAAATAAGTTGACCTTAATGAACCTGAGTCAAATGAGCCAGCATCTGGCTTTGGTGGGTTGACTCGTTTAACTCACAATAATATTGAAAACGATTAAAGCCATATCTTAAAATCTAATATATCATAATATTATAAAATTAATTGTAACTAAAATCTTAGTAAACACTAACTCCTACAACGTATTTCCCTCCTTCATGCCCCCCTTTTTATTTCATTTGCCCGCCGTGTGCTTCCGCTTCTCTAGTTCCATGTCTCCTGTCTTGGTTTCCTTCAAGGAAGGAAATCCACTCACCATGTTTCCTTCACCTCCTATGTGCACGCACACGCACACACGTGTTTATGATTCCCCAGAGTTTATCTCTTGGCGAACTTACTCAAATTTGACAATACTTTTTTCTTACAGACTAATCCATTCGATTTATTCGAGACATTTTTTGGGCCAAATATGGGTGGCTTCTCTGGAATGGATCCAACTGGATTTGGAACACGTCGTCGCAGTACTGTTACTAAGGGAGAAGATATTCGGTGAGTTGTGATGTAGTCTCTGCTAAGGAAGTAAACAATACCACTAGTTGCACCAGAAATAAGATACTTCACTTTTTCACTTATTAATATCATCAATCTGTTGCTCCTGTTGGCCATTTTTCTATATATAAACAAAGTACGCCTTTGCTTATTTATTGCAGTTAGGGTAATCTGAGTTATCTAGGAATGTTCGTGTCTACTGGGATTCTTCCTTTTTACATGCCCATTTTTCTCAATGCGATGAAAGTGAGAATGGTTTGTCCAGAAGATACTTCATGTGGTATTCCCTGGCGTTTCACATTTTGAGAGTGTTGGAATTAAAGTTTGACGGAGAAGGCTAGCAAGTTTTTCATTCACAAAGTTATCTGAAATTATAATGTTTTTCCAGCTAATTTCATCGTTAGCTACAGCCTGCAGCTGTTGGTGTGTTTCTAGTCCTAGAACAAGCAAATGAAAATGTACATAGTTATGATGAATATTGAGTATTTTCTCCCCCCTCAACCAAAAAGAAAGAATTATACGATTCATTCTCTGATAGTTTTACATTCTATCTTTTCAACTTCATTGATTATTGTAGAATTATTCTCACCAATGCTATAATCAGAAAGGTTTAAGACTTTGCAGTCTCCAAAATTTTTGATGCAATTTGGAGTTGATTTTTAATTCCGATGTCAACAGTTATGACATGTCCCTGGAACTTTCTGAGGTAATTTCTGGAGCAGAGAAAGAATTTGACCTTTCTCATTTGGAAACCTGTGAAGTCTGTATTGGAACCGGAGCAAAGATGGGCTCCAAGATGATAGTGTGCACAACTTGTGGTGGTAGGGGTCAGGTGATGAGGACTGAACAAACACCTTTTGGAATGTTCTCTCAGGTACTTCTTTTCCTTATGAATCTGAATATTATCACTCTTAAGTCTCAATCTTGCATGCTATTTCCAAGTGAAGAAAGAGAAACAACTCTTCATGAGTTGTGAAACTCTTCGTAGTTGGCACATCTCTCTCTCTCTCTCTCACACACACACAGTCATAATATGTACAATTCAACGAGGCGTCTCATGCGTGGCCAGTTTTACACTTGACAAGATAATTCCATTTCTCTCTCTAGACATATTATTACCTTTGTTGCAAAACTAGGTTTCAGTATGCCCAAACTGTGGAGGGGATGGCGAAGTCATATCTGAATATTGTGGCAAATGCAGCGGGAAGGGACGTCTACGAGTTAAGAAGAAAATTAAAGTTCAAGTTCCACCTGGGGTTAGCTCGGGCAGTATATTGAGAGTTGCTGGGGAGGGTGATGCTGGACCAAGAGGGTATGCCTTTCTCATAATTTTATTGCATCTGCGAGACTGCGACCTAAACTGCCTTTTTGTATATGCAAATTTGTCCCCACTTAAATAATAGACGAGGTTTTATTATAAAGAAAGAAGTAATACAAATAGAAAGATGGATTAAATATTCTTCATAGACAAGACAGTAATCTAAGGGCAAATATTTTCCCTTGCAAACATACTACAAAAAACTGCAACTGGCAACATGGCCTCCTTACTGTTGTGAAGAATATCTTTCTCTTGACCGTCATCAATGAGAATATCTTACTTTAATCAAAAGACAATAGTCATGTTTTGAGGGCGCAGCTGGCTGCACTGAACCTCAAAATCTACTCCAGCACTTTTCACTCATCAAGCCAAAGCCTTCTGGTATTAATACCGTATGGCTATAACATTCATGCTGTTATATAAAACGGTAAACCCCTTCCCATTTTTTGTAATGTTTAATATTAAATTTGTAATATTGTTGTATGTTATGATGCAAATACTTAAAAAGAAAGTAGAATATGAGGAATTTGTTCACTCCTATTCCGCCATATAAACATTGTTTAGGGTCGTACTATCAAGATCCTCTGTCTGTAAATGAGAATTTGGCTTTATTTAAGCATGGGGAAAAGGAGTTCAATACAAATGTTTCATGATCTTGAAATTCTTAAAATAAATACGAAAAACATTACGGATGAGCAAACTGTCCATATTATCTCTTTTAATTATTTTATCCTTGCTATTTAATGAATATCTAATGCCATTTATATTTTAAATTGACAAATTCACGGGCGCACATTCAGACTCAGTTCCTTCCCCAACAAAATTTTTTGTTCTGTTGATGGTTTACTTGTGGTTTTGTATCAAAGTTACATTTTTGCGTATGTCAATTTCGACAATTTTACTGCTTAGTGCTTTCATGTTTGACAAGCAGCTGTTCGTCTTCTTGTTTTAGCAGGGGTCCTCCAGGAGACCTTTACGTATATCTTGATGTGAAAGAAATACCAGGAATTGAAAGAGACGGTATTAATCTCTGTTCAACAATCACAATCGGTTACCTAGATGCCATACTTGGAGCCACTGCCAAGGTAAACTTTTTAGTCAGCATTTATGCTTGTAGCTTGATTTTTTAAGGGAAAAAATTAAATATTTCAGTGAAGGGGACGTATTTCCTACCAGCCCATTCTATTTAAAAATTTAAATAAAGTGACATCTCAGAATGGTTTTCCTATTGCAACTAGGTCTTGTGCAAGTACTGAGACGCAGTTAAAAGCCAATAAGGTGAAGACACTTCAATTGTGAAATCAAACGTGACATGTGACGGATAAGACAAATTAAGCAAACTGCTTTTGAAAGTATATTTAAGAAAATAGCTTTTGGCGATTGTTCATTGAAACGTGTTCACCTAGTGCAGTCAAAGCTAGGGATTTTATCACAAATCTTTCAGTAGTGGGTTTGAGGGTCCCCGATATTGTATTACTCCTCCGGTCCTAATTATAAGACCCAATTGACTTATTTGAGGAGATTAAGGAAGCAAGTTAAGTTGGTTATTTATAATAAATAAGTGTTGTCATTCCTAAAATATCCTTGCTAATTAAGTATATTGGCTAAAACTATCATTATTAGAAGGATTATCTTGGAAAAAAATGCATAAATATAAGAGACAAAATGGATTGGGTCTTATAATTAGGACCAAATAAAAAGTCAAATTGGGTCTTATAATAAGGACCGGAGGAGTATTTAAGAACCATATGCTCATGTTTTATGACAATGTTGATGTTATTACCTTACGCTATCAATTATTCACTACTTTAGCGCTTGAACAGATAAAGACAGTTGAAGGCATTTCCGAACTACAAATACCTCCTGGTACCCAACCTGGAGATGTTCTTGCCCTTGCAAGAAAAGGCGTTCCGAAACTAAACAAACCATCAATACGTGGTGATCATCTGTTTGCAGTTAAAGTTACTATACCAAAACGTATCAGGTAATGGGTCATTTTAGAATTAATTTCTAGTTCACTATTCCTATATACTGGTAATTTGAAGTGAATTTACCTCTTCTTTGTATTATCAGTACAAAGGAACGTGATCTGCTTGAAGAACTTGCTTTGCTTGGCAACAACACTGCAAGCAACCGATCAAAATCCCGTCCTAGAACTCAATCTTCTGGTAGGTGGTTTCTTTATGTTTGCCGCTAAATTGCGATTTTTCTCCAACAATGTACTGAATCAACTAGTTATTTGATAATTTCTTGAATGCTTGAATGAGTGAAAATGGATACTATTAGAGCTAGTCTTACTTTTACCACATTCGAAAGTTTAGAAAGCTTATAAGCCAATAATGTTTGAGTCTTAAACCATGAGTACCTTCTCCAGCAGGAAGTACAGAAGGTCCATCATCTCAAAATGCCGAAAGTCCAGCACCAACAGTATCAGAAAAAGCTGGAGAATCAGAAGATCAAAATGACATATGGAAAAAGTTAAAAGATCTTGCTAGGTAATAGTTTTCTCTCCTGTGGTATTCAATTTATTGTATGCAAGTTTCCTCGTTGACCAACTTGTTCAATATGCCTCATTTCCTCTTATGAGCAAATATTTCTGAACTGAACTTGCAGACCTCTCGCAAATGGAGCATTAAAGTGGCTAAAAGATAATCTCTAGTTCAATGGCTTTATATACGAGGTCGTCCAAAGTCTCGAAGATGCATTTTATCTTGTTGAGTCAGATCTTTATGATTCCAGAAACCGCTAAAATCAAAAGGGCTATGCAGACATTTTAATCACATGCTTGAAGTGAAAGTTGTTGGCATTCTACAGCACAATCAAGCAGGAAGTCTTGCATATTCTTCATTCGCTTTGCTTGTATATTTAGGCTATAGGTAATTTATACAGGATCACATGTTCAAGGATCCACAGCGTATTCCATTAGCAATTGACCGTAGGAAAATCTATTGTATATTTGATAGGAAGTTTAGGCTCTATTTGAGAGAATCACCGAAAACTAACTGGAATTATATAACCTTCTGATTATTCTGTGGAAGTATATATTTCTTGCATCCTTTTTATGCAACTCGTTTCTGTTGTTGACTGCACTTTCTAAGCTAGGCCAGTGTATATTAAAAATAAGATGCTCAAGATGATGTAAATATCACATTCCTTTCCTTGTCACACCGCTGGTGTTGGCATTTCATACACTAGTTTCAATGGATATCAAAAGACCATGTTTCTTACATATTAACAAAGAAAGCATGTGCCTTTCAAAGCAGCGTAGAGAAGATTTATGGAGTCCAACAAGAATAATGATCTGAAGATTTGGTTTTGCAGAGAAGAAGAAAAAGAAAATGTTAGTAATGAATAATCACAAATTGGCACAATAGAAACCGTTTTCTTTCAGGGTTTGTTACATCTTTAGTTCTACTATAAAATTAAAACTTGTGCAGAAGCAGGACTCCTGAATAGCACAGCCAAAAGGTTCCTAATCTTCTGTATCTAAATTACTTTCCTTGATCAAAAGGAAAACAGCTACAACAACAGGAGTTAGAATCATAAACAAAGCCTGCACGATGTTGGGTCTGGTTATCACAGGGTAAACTGCACTTCCATACTTGATTGCAGCAGCACCCAGAACAGAACCCGCCAGCAATTTTGCGAGATAACCCCAATCCTCCTAATCACACCATACAAATAACCCAACTCAGCAAAATCTACATTGGCAAGCTCATCTCAGAACTTTTAACATTTTTGCGAAATTAAAATTTAGCCTGTACATAATTCAAAATCTGCAAAACACTCCTTTTAACTTTTAGCCAACGCAACAACGTTAAATGTCATTTAATCTTCCATCGCTTAAATATTGTTCTTGCCACTAATTTTGATTAAGAGATTATATCTCATTTTTAATACAAAGTTCTATGAATATTTTGCCATATCGGATATTTTTGCCCATCACTTCAATGCAAGGGATGAAGCAGAGTTTTCTTAATTCTTAGCCTTTCACTTCAAAATCAAGACTCGAGGTCGAGGATGACATTGGCGTTAGAAAAGAAAATCCAAGTGAAGTTGAGAAGAGGAAGAGAGAGGAATGTATGTACCGAAGAAAGGAAAGTGCGGGTACTGTTTCTGGAGTTTTCTTCTGCTTCGTTACTTCCTCTCTGGGGATCGAGAGCTCGAACAACAAAGGACCTCGCCCACCTCGTCCCTGAGAATCGAATTCGGTTTGGGTAGATGTAGTTTGCCATTCTCGAAAGCTTCTTTCTGGGGCTAGCTCTCCCTGACAAACGGAAGCTCCAACCTGCAACATTGGAAGCTGCCGAGACTGCCATATCCGTCGAGCACAACCTCCCACCGTTGAGAAGAAACGTGGAGGGTGCTTCTTTTTTTTTTTTTAAATAAATGAAAAGAAATGGGAAGTATTAAGATGAGTGGGGTCAGTGAAACCAAGACGTCGTCGTTTCCTATATTTGAAATAGACCTATAGAAGGCATACAATCAAATTGTTAAAAAATGCAATAAAATATAAAATTGTAATTTAAAATTTCAAGATACAATAAAAATATTTAAATTTCAATTTTTCAACAAATTCTGAAAACATTTATGGAATTCAAGTAAAAAGTACCATCATTTTAATAAATAAGTATAAAATTAAGAAAATATTAGTAGTCCTCCATTTTCTCAACTACAATAAAAATACCAGCACAAATACAATCAACCTAATAACTCCAATTTTTTAGCTTTCTTATTATATTTTGAAATTTTTTTAATAATTGGATTATTTGATTGATAAAAAATGAAAATTTTGCCCAATAAATTACAATTAACATATATATATGCATCAGAACTTCACTTGATCCTAGATTTTTTTATTATTTTCCCCCTCTTTTTAATGTATAATTCAAATTTTAGATTTTAACTTATAATTGTAGTGATTGCTCTTTCAATTAATTTTTCGTTCACCCTTTTCAGACACATTCCACAAGTAGTGTTTAATTTTTTACCATGTCAACAAGAGCTAGAAAATGCAAGCAAGCTCGTGTCCTTGAACCCATGGGCCTTCACACCTCAATTTGAGATTGATGTTGGGTTATAATTTTATTTGGTGTAATATGTATTATAACAAGGTTTTATATTTATTTATAAAATTGTTTGTATTGTTGTTTGGTTCTTGGCCAAGTGTTACAATCAAATGGCTATAATTTTATTTGATGTTATTAGTATTGTTGTTTACAAAAAATCTCCCCATTAAAAAACTGTTTTTTTAATATCTTTCACTATCTTTGTTAAGGGGGTCTTGACTCTTGAGCACCATATATTCTTTTCTTTTCTTTTTTTAAATCTCTTATTGGAAACCTATATCAAATATTAAATATGAGCATTTTTTAATGAGAATTTAAATCTTGATTCGATCGCTAAACTCAACTTTTATTAGTTTAAGCACCATACATTCTACATTCCTAGAATGTTGCTTCTTCTCTACTCACCCTCATTTAGTGTTTGGGGTTTTGTCGCAGAACAGTCATTAATGAAATAGAATATTTCATTACTTGGACGTTTTATAGGAAAAATGAAAAGGGAATGGTTAATTGAAGTTGAGAGTGAAGAAGAAAGTCTCTGGCTTTTTTTTTTTTCTTGGCTGCATTGGGCAATCTCTGTAATATTTTCGTGCAATTTTTGTTTTTTTGCATTATCTCTATGATTTCTGTACAACATATATATATATATATATATATATATATTCACGGATCTAAAACTCTTGAACCTAGCATTGTTTTGCTTGTTAAGATTGGCTATTCCATGCTATAAAGTTTGATCATGTATGGTCTAATTGGAAATGTGAAGAGAATGTGTGTCTTTTCGAAGCAGATCAAGAAATGAGAAAGAGATAGGAGAGATCCGATTCATATATTGGTTTAGGAGATTGTGGGGTATATATGTCTTTTTGCATTGATGTAGCATGCTAAACTCTTTATAAAGATGCTGACTTTTTATTCATACATGATTATATTAGGGTTTGCGAATACAATGTTTATTTGCCCTCAAGAGTTTATTGTTTGAAAGTGTTTTGACATGGGTTGAGTCCTAGATGATTGAATTTAATGATATTTTGAATGTTTTGGAATTAGGACTATTTTGGGTATTATTAATGAAAGTATGAATTATATATATATACATATGTAAGTGTACGCATTCTTTTGTTTGAGAAAATCTTATCTAAGGTATAATTTATTAGTGACTAAATGTGAAAATATATCTCAGTCAGGATTTAAATTTTAGTTCGTCACCTCATTCATAGGTTTAATGGATATTACTTAAAAATATGTAATGAATAATATTATAGCAATCTTTGTTTTTTAATCATCTATAAGCTTAGCCATGTATGGTAATGGGATAAATATTATCATTACAAGGCTGCAATGGATTTGAACCAAATTGGTCATACATGGTTGATCATGTTATTTTATTTGATAGTGTTGGGGGCTGAAGATGTCCTAACCCGTATGTTTTGTTAATTGTTCATTGAGATTCCAAACATGTTTCACCTGATGTTTTGATTTTGTTTAAAGGTTTGGCCATTAAAAAAAAAAAAGATTTAGGTTAAAGGTGAAATTTTAATCCTTTACTATTGTACCATAATTGAGTGATATGGAGTTTTATTTATGTACATTGAATCCACATAGACGTGATAAACCTCTAATGGTTAGTTTTGATCTTTGGCTATAATTATGGTTAACTTTCAATTTTAATTTATCAATAAATTATTTTCTTCTAGTGTATTTAACATGCTTAATTCTTGCCAAGAACCTTAGTTCAATAGCAAACACAAAAACAAAAATCCACATCTATAACTAAATATGAGGTTTGTCAAGTTGTAAAAGACTAATTTTTTTATTAGACCCCATTTCTATTGGTAAGAGGAATAATAGTAGTTACTCTTCCGGTCCTAAATATACGACCCATTTTGTAGTGTAATACTAAATTAAACTACAAAATGAGTCGTATATTTAGGATCGGAGTAGTATCTTTCATGGTTGAGTCCAGAGTATCCATCGCCAGTAGTAGTTACTAATCTCTTTGTGCAATAGACCTCCCGAAGGAGTTTTAGTGCTGGCCACAAGACTCTAGAATAATACTACCTTCGGTTTCAATATAAAAGCTAGTTAATTAATTTGAATAGATTAAAGAAATTAGTTAAGTTATTTGTTTATAACAAATATATATTGTCTTTCCTAAAATACCCTTACTAATTAAATGTCATTTGATAAAACATTTAATATGTGCAATTACTATAAAGACTGTTTTGGAAAAAATGGATAAATATGAGAAACAAAATAAATTAGGATCTTCTACCAAAAAAAAAAGTAAACTAGGATCTTATATTTAAGATTAAATTAAAAATTAAATAAACTCTTATATTAAGAAGATGAGGTATAAGTAGTTGAACGATCTCTTTGGGGTTTTTTTCTCCCTCACGGGCCACATTAAATGCTATGATGGGCCAACGGCCCAAAATGATCTTAATGGGTGCTTGAATTAAGCCCATATTAATCTTTTGCGGATTTACGGTTTGACGTCATCTTTCCTGCCGCCGTTGAAAGGCGAATCTCACCCCCTGAAAGCTTCAATCAACCTCTTTCCGAGTTGGAAGTTCTCCGTTTTCATCCTCCGAACCCTAATTCTCCATTTGATCTTAAACTCTGAAATTCATCTATCGTTTCTTCTGTTCCTTCTTCAAGCGGCCAAGATGGTTTTAGCTCAGTTAGGGGGGAGCATATCCCGTGCTCTCCAACAGATGAGCAATGCCACCATAATCGATGAGAAGGTTCTCAATGAGTGTCTTAACGAGATCACCCGTGCTCTTCTTCAATCTGATGTTCAATTTAAACTCGTGCGAGATATGCAGACTAACATCAAGAAGATTGTCAACCTCGACGATCTCGCTGCTGGCCACAACAAACGCAGGATCATTCAACAAGTACGATTTTCTGTTAAACTTGGTCCTTTTTGGCTCCTTGCATGAATGATTATAAATTTTTAAAATTCTTACTGGAATAGTTCTTAGAGGGTGTTTCTAAAAAATTTTGCTTGGCTCGATTTCTTCTGAAAGATAATCTAATTGCATTTTTGAGGCAGAGCGTGATTTCTTTGTTTGCATTAAAATTTATACTGAAGCAAATAACTTTTTTTTGAATGTTCATCTTCGGTGAAATTGTCAATACTTTCCCCCCCGATAATTTCGCTATGATGCAGTTTAATGGTTGTGCTGCTTGTTTGTATTCCAGCTGAATGACTTAGGTGTTAGTTATTTTGTGGTTGGATCAGTTATGGTTCAAATTTATGTGGTTATTTTACTTCCTCATTGGGAGAGGGGTGCTGATTTCTGAAGAAATGACGGAAGTTCAGAGGACTATGTTGCCTCAGGGTGACATATTGGCCAACAACAATTGTTTGCGTGTGTTATGCTATTTAGATTATTATTTGACCCAGAAAAAATTAAACCGAATGCTGAAAAGTTGATGATCTCTGGCTACTTGAGTCTTTTGAGTCTTATGACGATGAATTAAATGTTAATTGTTCACCTCTTAACTCTTTCCATGGACCATTTTTTCTGTTGTAAAAACTAGTCTTTGAGGACTGGTCTAGACTCTACATAGCCTGTCGCATGCTCAATTGTCAATTGCGAAGCTATGCTAGTTTCTTGTAGTTTGATGTGCATTTGTTTTAGCATGTTCCTGATATCCTTGATGTGCTCTGCTTCTAGGCTGTTTTTAACGAACTCTGCAAAATGCTGGATCCTGGGAAACCCACTTTCACTCCCAAAAAAGGAAAAACAAGTGTCGTCATGTTTGTTGGCTTACAAGGTATGCTACATATTAAGTGGCTTTTTCATCTTGTTATTCAAACTATGTTTTTTTTTTCTCTCCAGTCAATTCAAATGATATTGGTATGTATAAGAACCACCTTCAAACATAAATGTCAAATTTAATAATAGACAATTATGCATACATCTAAGCCATGCATGTCTTAGCTTTATTGTTGGTCCTTATCCTTATAAAAACTTTTGCAATTATCTTCTGATGCTTAAACATTTAAAATGATGAATCAGGATCGGGAAAAACCACAACTTGTACGAAATATGCATATTATCATCAGAAAAAAGGATGGAAGCCTGCTCTAGTATGTGCTGATACATTCAGGGCAGGTGCTTTTGATCAACTGAAACAAAATGCCACTAAAGCTAAGATCCCTTTCTATGGAAGGTACTCATTTATTTGGTTTTTTCCCCCTTCAGTTTTTTCTTGGAACTGGTTAGCATCGTATGCAGACTCAACATTTAGTGTTGTCGTGTTTTTGTTAAAAATTTACGGAA